TACTTGGCGCAGCAGCTGCTGGACGTGTTGCCCCAGGAGTCCTACGAGGAGCGCACCGCGCACTTTCGGGAGCAGTTGGCCAAGCTGGACAAGCTGGACAAGCTGGACGCAGGCGAGCTGCCGGGGTCTGTGGACGGATCTCTGGAAATGGAGCTCTTGGTGGATTCGCTCTATGATGGCCAGAAGAGCCGTGGCCTGCGGGCCTACCTCGGCTGGCTCAGCGCACCCTCGCAGCTCAGCAGGCTGGAGATCGATGGCCAGTCGGCGCTGTGGACGCAGTTCTTCCCCGTGCAGGAGGAGGTGCACCAGCGACATGGGCTGCTGCTGGTCTTGGAGGACCTCCAACAGCTGGAGGCCAACATGGAGAAGTTGCAAAAGCTGGCCGTGGATGCAAAAGATGCGAAGTCGAAGGTGCCCTTGAACTTCCTGCACGTTGTGGCGGGCCGAGACGCCTTCCCCACAACCGACCGCACCTTGTTCTACAACACGGATGCAGAGCTGCAGAAGGCGTCCAAGACGTGCCAGGAGCTTTTTGCCCGCAAGGCGGAGCTCTTGAAGTCTGCCGGGGTCGGGGAGATCTGCGTGGTCTTCCCGCAGCCGCCGCGCCACCCCCGCTTCGCCAAGTTTTTGCTGGACCCAACCACGGAGGAGTGGGCGGAGAACGAGCTGAGCCGCGATATGTGGCCCTCCTTCCCTGGCATGCTCGAGCTCACCAAGCTCCAACGCCAATACACGCTGCAGCGCATCCACAAGGAAGTGCGGCCCACCACGCAGATCTATTTGGCGACGCAGCCCATGTTGGGCAGCAAGGCTCCGGCCCCGGAGCTTCTGATGCGCGCGCTGTACCTCTCCAAGGTGGGCAAGGAGTCCCTGAGCCAATGCATCGGCGAAAGCCTGGACCTGGCCCTGGAGGAGGTGGAGCACGCCATGCTGGACCCGCGCGTGGCCAAGTTTGGGCCCACAGTGACCAGCCGCATCTTCATGCACTTCCTCAGCGAGCTGGACATGCCTGTGGCCGAGATCGAGCAGCTGTTCACCGACAGTGTCAGCAGCCACGTGGGCCACCGCGGCTCCGAGATCATCAAACTGTGTATTGACGAGATCGAGGTGAAGGTGCACCACCGCGCCAAGGGTGGCTTGGAGATCTTGCGGCTGTCCCTCAGCTCGCTGCACGGCGGGTTTTTGAAGCCCAAGATGCTGCGGGAGATCCCGGACCCTGTGACGGGCTACCCTCTGCGCTACGAGTCTCCGGACAGCGCCGCCACTTCCACGCCGACGGACCAGGCGCAGCTGGCGCGGCTGCAGCCGAAGCGCGTGGCGGCACGCCGCGCGGGCTCCACCTACGCCTACGACCTGCCTGGCATGCTGCAGATGGCGCTGACCATGAAGTGGATCGCGGCCACCCCCGGCGCAGCGCCCGCTGGCGCGGCGCCAGGCGCGCGGCGGCGGTCGCCGTCGCCGCGCCGCGCGGCAGCTCCGGTGCCCGAGGGCATGCCCAAGGACATCTTGACGGCCAAGGAGCTGGTCATGGACTGGTCGAAGATGGAGCTGGTGGAAACGGAGCGACCGGAGGGCAGCAACGATGTGGGCATGCTGGCCTGGCGTCTCACAATGAAGACGCCTGAGTACCCAGCTGGCCGGGACATCATTGTCATTGCCAACGACGTGACCTTCCAGGCGGGCTCCTTCGGCGTGAAGGAGGACCAGTTCTTCCAGAAGGCGTCTGAGCTGGCGCGCGTGCGAGGCGTTCCCCGCATTTATGTGTCCTGCAACAGCGGTGCCCGCGTGGGACTGGTGGAGGAGCTGAAGCCCCTCTACAAGGTGCAGTGGCTGGATCCCAAAGACTGCAACAAAGGCTTCGAGTACCTCTACCTGCTCAAGGAGGACTATGAGAAGCTGCCGCCGGGCACCGTGCAGGCGCACAAGGTCCAGGAGGCTGGGGAGGAGCGCTACGTGCTTGACGCCATCATCGGAGAGGGCATGAAGAGCACGGAAGGCGGGATTGGCGTCGAGAACCTGCAGGGCAGCGGCCTCATTGCCGGCGAGACGAGCCGCGCCTACCAGGACACTTTTACCCTCTCCTACATCACAGGCCGGTCCGTGGGCATCGGTGCTTACCTGAACCGGCTGGGCCAGCGCAACATCCAGATGGTGAGCAGCCCCATGATCCTCACGGGCTACGCGGCCCTGAACAAGCTCCTGGGTAAGAACGTTTACTCGTCCCAGGACCAGCTGGGTGGGCCTCAGATCATGGTGCCCAACGGCGTGACTCACCAGGTGGTGCGGGACGACCAGGAGGGCATGGGGGCCATCCTGGACTGGTTGAGCTTCGTGCCCAAGGACACCTGCAGCCTGCCGCCCATGAGCGCTCTGAGCAGCGACCCCTGGGACCGCGACGTGGAGTTCGAGCCGACGCCACTGCCCTACGACCCTCGGGACTTCCTGCAGGGCGTGGTGGACATCGAGGGCCGGCGGCTGCGGGGCTTCTTTGATGCGGGCTCCTGGGCGGAGTACCTGGAGGGTTGGGGCCGCACCGTGATCTGCGGACGCGCCCGCTTGGGCGGCATCCCCATGGGCGTCATCGCCGTGGAGACGCGCTCCGTCGAGCGCCTCATCCCCGCGGACCCCTCCAACGCGGAGTCCTGCGAGGTCAAGGAGACCATGGGCGGCAAGGTGTGGTTCCCCGACAGCGCCTTCAAAACCGCACAGGCCCTCCGGGACTTCAACCGGGGCGAGAACCTGCCGGTGATGATCTTCGCCAACTGGCGCGGCTTCTCCGGAGGCACCCGGGACATGCACAACGAGATCCTGAAGTTCGGCGCCATGATCGTGGACGCCCTGGTGGAGTACAAGCACCCCATCTTCATCTACATCCCCAAGCACGGCGAGCTGCGGGGCGGCGCCTGGGTGGTCATTGACCCAGCCATCAACCCGGAGAAGATGGAGATGTACGCGGACCTGGACTCTCGCGGAGGCATTCTGGAGCCCCCCGGCATCGTGGAGGTGAAGTACAGGGCGCACCAGCAGGTGGAGGCAATGCACCGCATCGACGAGAAGCTGCAGCAGTTGGATGCCAAGCTGTCAACAGCCGCTGCCGATGAGAAGCCGAGCATCGAGCAGGAGATCAAGGCTAGGGAGAAGCAGCTGCTGCCGCTGTACACGTCTGTGGCAACCACCTTCGCGGATCTCCACGACCGCGCCGGGCGGATGAAGGCCAAGGGCGTGGTCCGAGAGAGCATCTCCTGGAAGGACTCGCGGCGCTACTTCTTCTGGCGCGTGAAGCGCCGCGTGCTGCAGGACTTCCTGATCGCCAAGCTGCAGAAGGCGGACGCCAAGCTCGGCCACAAGGACGCCGAGAAGCTGCTCCGATCCTGGGCCGCCGAGAGCAAAGTCGACTTCGACAGCGATGCCAAGATGGTCAGCTGGCTGGAAGCTCAGGATGTGGAGGCCAGGGCCCAGTCCATCAGGACTAACTTCCTCAAGTCCCACATCCAGGACACTTGAGCTTGCTGTCTTGAGGGCTTCGTTCAAACGTCGCTTGCAATCGCTCCATGCCGGTTTGGAAAGCTGCCTCGTGACGGGGCGAAGACTCACCGCGCTAATGCCTGTGACTGTCGTGCTGGAGTCATCGGAGGGAAATGATGCATATTGACAATCTGATAACGAATCATAATATCAACATTCTCCTTTGGCACTAGTTCAGTTCTTCTTAGTTGCCAAATTGGATTCGCATCAAGGCATCACTGGCAAGACATCAGCAAAACTGCATGGCAGTGCTAGGAAATCCATGTGTTTGATTGATACCAAATATATATTCTGAGGGTGCCCATTTGCAGGACACCGCGGGGAAACAAAAGGGAACCTAGCCGTTGGGGCGCTGTATCATGTAGCTCTCATGTGGCTCCGTGGCCTTTTCCCGTCTGTTTTCTGAGTCCGGTGGAGCAACAGAGGCTGAGGGATGCGGGCAGCGAAGCCTCAACGCACAGCATGAGAATCAGCCGCTAGTCTGCGTTCCACACCCTTTCTACCCAGCAGCCTCGGTGGTTGTACGTGGCATTCTCTGCATTCTCGTTGAACTCTGCAAAAAGCGGCGGTTTCAATGAAAAAGACTTCCGGCAAACGGTACGGAGACATGCAGCATGCATCGTGCCAACGCCAGGAGCTCTTCGATCAGCTTCCTGCTAGCGAGCGCGACGCGGTTCTGGCGAATCTGAGGAGATGAGATGAGGATGACGACCCTCCGATGGGAGGTTTCGATTTGACGTTGTAGCATTGAGCTTGAGAGTTGAGTTACAGTTTTCATCAGTTCTGTATGCAAATTCAGGCCCAGGCAAAATGCTTGGGAAGGAAGCGCGGGCAGGGGAATTTTTCTTGCATCCCAGGCCGGCTGAAGAGCCCGTTTCCGCATTGCATGGAGACTTCTAGGAGTTCAGTCAGGATCACCAAGGAACTGATTGGAAGCCAGAAGCATTTTGTCGTTTTGCAATTGATACAGCAATTCAGTGGCTGTGATGAAGCCTAGGGGCCAGCTGACAGCTGTGCCTTCCCTGTGCGACACGCACCATCCTTTGCTAAGCCTTGGGCTAGCGTCTGGTGCTGCAAAGCTTCCCTGTCTTCCGCATTGCAGCATCCAGAGACCAACTTCAACTCCATTTCTCGCGTGAGCGAAAACACGTGCTTCTATCTCGGTTTGCCAGGCTGCAGTGCCCACAAAAGAAGAGAAGCTCGACAGGAACGAAAGCCTTAGCTCGAACCTGTGAATGATGGAGGGCAGCAAGGCCTTCAGGGCTTCTCAAGTCGCCCCTAGAAAGCGTCTCCCTTGAACATTGACTGGGTGAGGGTGCCCTCCCTAAACCTTTGGAGTTCTAGTTTTTTTCTAGTAGTCCCTATCGACTCCTATTGACAAAAATCAATAGGGGCCACTCGCAAAACCGTCCTTTCTTTCTTTTTTGGGGGAAGCCGACGGGAACCCGTTGCCATCTCTGACCGTCGCCCGCCAGAAGCTGCGCCGCTGCCGGGAGCTGCTGCGCGGCTCGCCGAACTGTGGCACCGAGAAGGCACGCCTGGCGCGGCAGCTGCTGAGGCGGCCTTTGGAGGTGGAGGCGGAACGCCGGGGGCAAAGCGCCTACTTTTGACTTGGACATATGGCTGTGGGTCAAAAATGGGCACCCAAAATGGAACCCTGGTAAACAGAAACATGGACCAAAACCTGCGGTCCCCTGGTGGCTTAATTTTGACCCATACCCATATGGCTGTGGTTGTGAAAACCAATGGGATCCCATTTTGGGATTGGTGCACCACCCATTTTGGTCTATTTTGGTGGGGATTGGGATGTTCACTGGGGGTACGGGCTTTTGACCCATGGCCGTAGCAAGGGGTGTGTTATGGTGTTGTATCGGAGAATGTGACGTAGCTTGCGATGTTTGGTAGTTAGGCCGAGTTTGATTTGGGCTGTGTTGAGTGTGCAGGAGGTGGTGATAACATCAACGTCCTCTCTGTGCATAGGTCCTCCATCGAAATGAAACAAAATTCAACCGGAAGTGGTGCCAAGGAAGGAACGTTGCACACAGTCAGTGTACTGCAGAGAGTCATTTAGGTCTGATCCTTTGCACACGACCACCCCAGCACAAAGAATTCACACCAGCAAGAACTGGGGTCTAGACATTGGTTGCGACAGTTGCAGCTTGAAACGTAAATGAACGACATTTGCACGACGCAACGATTTTTTTTGTGTGTTTTACTGGGTTACACCTGACTGGAGATACGCGGCTTTCTTTCGCGCATTCTGGCATGGACGACAGGGCGATGCATTGCCGCCTTGCCTGGCTCTAGCAGCACCTGCGCGGGTCCGAGACCTTTGAGTGGAGAGTTGCTTCAAAGGCTTTGCACTGCAAATTTGGGCCTTTGTAAGAGTATCCATTTTTTTCGGGGTTTTAAAGGGAGACCAAGAGCAACACCGCCATTTTGCGTGGTGCCCCTGAATCCAACTTGTTTCTTGTGTGATTCCTGGATACGGGCACCGGCCTCCATCCAGCTTTAGGCCAGTCTTGGACCGCCCGCCTTCTTTCCGGTGGGCAATGCTGCAGGGCGCTTTGCGCCTCTGTGCGGGCCACGGGGGGCAACCAGACATGACTGGCTGGCCATGCTGGGATGGTCTGCTCGTGAAGCTTTCAATCCGGAAGGGAGCGGCACCATTGCTGAAACTGGAATCTGAGGACTTCCGGCCTTGAGGTGGCTGAACCGCGCGCTGACCTTGAAGATGACAGCTTGCGAAGAGTTGATGTTTTGGTGAGCTGGTTGTGATCCTGCTTGGGTGGCTTGCCCGGCGGTTAGCTGCCACACCGCTGCGGGCCCAGGCCTTCTCTTCATCGGGATGTCTGACCCAAGGCTGTGCTCCAAGCGTTGGCCAATGGGCAGAAGTTTCATGTCATCCTGGTCTCAATCGGGCTCCACATATTATGCTAACCATCCCAAACCGATGTGTGGTCTCCTTTGAGAGTGTTGCAAGTCCTGCGGAGCGCACCTTGCCTTGGTCAGGCATCTGCTCTCCGCCTTGGCATTGACCTTGCCTCAGGGTACAGTTTGTGCTTGGCTGTATTTTCAAGTCATTGCCATCGCCTTTTTCAGTTTCTTGCAGGGGTTTGGGTTGCTTGCACTCTGGCACAGCCATATTCTCACTAGATACCTGCCGAGAGCCCGACCTTTCTTTGAACCGAGGCTAGACGAGACACAGCGCGTTACATGCGTAGGCGACTCAGGCATCAGCACTGGTAGCTGTGTGGTGAGGCAGGTGCAAGGACCAAAGTGTTCGCCTTTTTTACATAAGTCAAGCCCGGCAAGAAATTAAATGAATGGGCGCAATCTGAAGGCATGCAACCCAACCATGCCAAGACGTGGCGCAGAACACGACAAGGAACAGAGAAGATAGCCCACCACGCGGCTGGCAGGTGCTGAATGATCTCAACGCCCGTGCCTTGGCATCGAACGACGGTTGCGACCAGTCTGAGATTGAATGATTATGCCCGGACAGCCAAAAAATGGTGGCCAAACAACTCTCTCATACCTTCACCAGAACTGGTCCTATGCCGAAGCTTGCTGTTTTGAAAGAAATAGGACATCTCGCTGGCAACATGGGTGAGGTGTCACGTCAGCACTTGGGACCCGAAATGGGCTTACAAGCGTACACATATCATATGTCATATGTCCTAAAGCTTTCGGATTCCATGTCATAGAGCACGAAGGAACGGCATGCTCACCACGCCCTGCGTCCCAAAAAGGGGGCGACTCAGAAGACGGCCCCGAGCCGTCAGGCAGAGACTTGCGCGCGCAACGCGCTGATCTTGGAGCTCCTCTCCGGGACGCGGGCGCGGTCTGGGGTCGCCGGCTGGGAACGCGGGTGCCCTCTTTGGGGTTGCTTCAGAGGAAAAAAAGGGAAACCTGCGCTGCTTCGCAAACCGCCCATTTTGGGGCGGCTTCCTTGCTTTGAGACAACACAACCATGCCGAAGTGGCCACTCAGTTTCAGTTGGGTTGCTTCGCATTGACTCGTTCAGGTGTCCTAGTGCTGCTGTTGCACCGGAGTCCTCAAGGAATTTGATGCAATGCGTGTTTCTTTTGTCACACGGATGGACCAAGCCAGCCCTTTGAGCATCGGCCAAATGTGGTTGCGGTTGTTTCATGTTCATTGAACGGAAGGGAACTGTACTGTATATGTTCCTTCGTTGGGCACAAATGCCACCAAGGAATGCATGTGCAATGAGCGCAGATAATCCTTTTGGGCTGCTTTCGGCATTGTAAACTATGCAGGAGGTCCATTTTTCCGCATGAGACCCCAGGCACTGACACCAATGTTTGACAGGCTCCTCCTCGGATCTGAAGAAGCGAGCAGATTTCATGACGATGACGCGCGGTCAGGAGCGAGATGCTGGGTGAGCGAATGCCGGGGGCAAAGCTGGAGCCGACTTGTCACGGTTGAAGATAAGACGGAGAAGGCTGATCAGGTTTTCTTCCTGGGCACTGCATTTTACAGTAGCTCCTCGTGCTCAATCCTCCATGTCGTATTGTTGTGGATTGAGTTGAGCAAGCAAGCATGCTCGCAGGCTGGCCATTTTCTCGATTTGGTGGCTACATGCAGCAGGCTCAGGTATTGCAAAACATCGAATGGCCTTGCAGCTTCCTTTGACTCTGATATTGCATGTGCTCTCAGCTTCCGTAAGGGGAGATCACGGGAAGCTTTCCGTTCTCACGTGTGGCTTGTCTTGTGTCACCCTTTTGGACGGGTAGGACATCGCAGTCAAAAGACATCGTCTTAGCGGAGAAATATGGTTCCGTCTTTTCTTGGAGTTGGTACCCTCCCACCAACTAACATGGAAGTGCAAAAAGCCCTTTCCAAGAGGAAAGTAGTCTTTCTACAGGGGTCTGTCCGCACTAACCCATGTTGGCTGGTGGGAGGGAGGCTAACATGGAAGCTCCCACCCCTTTGGAAGACTTGGTTCCATTTATAGAGGCCTGGGAGCTTCCATGTTAGTCTGAGGGTAATCGCTTCTTTTTTTCTTTTGTGTCCCCGAAGAGAAGTCCGCGGGGCTGGGCGCCGAGCTGAGGAGTTGCCCTCGCCGCTGCTGCCGCTGATGTGCCGGGCCGCTGCCCAGGCGAAGGCGCAAGGCGCGGGGCACGGCTTTGGGATGCTCTCTGCGACTGGTGCCTTCCGAAAAAATGTATTTTTTGGGTGTGTACAATATTGGTACAGTATTGGGGGGGGGGGGAGGGGGTACCCCTTTTTGCATGTTGTTTCTTTTTGGGAAAACCGAAGGGAGCACCCACCCATGTTCAGGGCTCCAAACCCTACTTTGAGACACACCCACAGAGCGATCTTTTGGGGCAGTTTTATGGCTCAAAGGTCTTGGTGTTTGGCGCACCTTCGGATCACACCAGGTTGCTGCCGCACCAAAGCAACCCTGGAGAGCTGGTGCGCCATGTGGAGCTGGGAGCCACATGCGAACTCGTGGGAAGGTACGGGGAAATTGTGGGTCGTTGGGTTCCATCTTCGCATGGAGCAAGCAGTTGGAGGATCTGATTTCAAGCTCGCTTTTTGACACCGTTTGGAATCGCGGGTGTCCTCGCTGTTGCCTGAGCACCCACAAGATCCCATAACCCGCATCAAGGAATCCACGACATATATATATATATATTTACATATTAATATATATAGAATTGCCACGCAACAATGCAACATCAAAAATTGTATTTGGGTCTTCCTTCCTTCCTTCCTTCCTTCCTTCCTTTCTGTCTTTCTTGGATTCTTTCTTGCATTCTTTCTTTCTTTCTTTCTTTCTTTCTTCCTTCCTTCCTTTCTTGCATTCTTTCTTTCTTTCTTCCTTCCTTCCTTTCTTGCATTCTTTCTTTCTTTCTTTCTTTCTTTCTTTCTTTCTTTCTTTCTTTCTTTTTGTCTCTCTCTCTCTCTCTCTGCCATAGCCGTTCTGGAAGGAAACACACGTCGAACGTTTCTGCTTTTCTGGGCTCCACGCGTGTCTTTTCTTCAAAGACTTCCCCCTGGCTTCGGGCCATGAGAACACAAAGGCCAAGCCATGGCAATTGGCGCGAGCCCAAAATCCCCAAGCGATTCGTTGGGCGGTTCGGTTCCTACCCGGTTTTCTTCTTTATCTTGTTGGTGCGATAGGCAGGGAATGAGGGGGAATGACCCTTGTAAACCATCGCCTATGGTTTCCTTTAAGGGAATCCCCAGGCTCATTCCCTCATTCCCTGCTGAGCACCAGCCAGTTATAAAGCCATGAGGGAACCGACAGTCCACGGGTTTTGGGCACTCAATTGGACCCGATCTTTGTGCGAGGCCAGACGTCAAGTGGAGCTGGCTCTGAGCTTCAAGAGGTGCCCATGGGCCAAACTCGGGTGGGACCCGGGCCGTGCACGTGTGATTGGGGCGCATTTGTTTGGAAGCAATCCCCTTGGAAATCATTTGCCTTTGGATTATGTGCTGTCGATTTCCTTTCCATTCACGGGGCTTGCGGCAGACCTCAAGTGCATGTCGAAGGTGGGCTTTGGATGACTGGTCGAAACATTGTGCAGCTGGGAGAGAGCGCGAGAGAGAGAGAGCCCGGGGGCGGAAGTTTGTTGGCCTTTGCCATCAACCCACTAGCATGTTGGCCAGCCTTGGCAGAGGCAGAAACAGGGATTGGAGTCCTGCAGATTTCAATCAAACCTGCAGGGCTGGGCGTGCCATTTGTTCTGTCAGGTGTTGCAAGCTGCACAGCTGGAGGGCAATGTGAAGGAGGCAACCGAGCCACTTGAAGCATCATTGGTCGAATACTTGCTTGAGATATTTTGAGAAGTCATAAGGCTCTCGAGCTCTCACTTTTCAGCCGCCCACAGCCTTGCAACCCTTTCATCAGAGGGCGCCAGCTGAGCGTGCACAGGCTGCAAGCAATCTTGTTGAGGAAGGCAGGGTTGTGCTTGCCCGCAAGCAACAGGGTCAGATAGACTGGGGCTATGGCATGCTGGACATTATCCTTGAAGACGCCTAAGTACAACGCGTTGCCTTGCAAGAGAAAAGTTGGGGCTGAGGCATGCCAGTCGTGGTGAATTCTACGCTTGCGACTCAGCGGAAGGACAACACATGAATACTGTGACCAATGCAAGGTCGCCCAGTAGTATATACCGCTTCTTCCCTTGTTCAACGCTGGTCGCTTGCCGTTTTTGTGCCAAATCATGCGTGCTGTGAGCATAGCAAAGCCCAGGCTCTTAGTGAGCCCCTGTTTTCCAGCCCTGATAAGTAAATTCAGCAGCATTTGCCCAACCAGGTTGCGGCACGCGGCGGCTCGCTTGGAGTACAACTTGTGGGCAGCTTAGACATACAATCTCCACTTTTGACTTGTCAAAGTCCACAACCCGCCCGAGAAACCACTTATTTCACCTGTGAATCAGGTGATTGGCAGTGATTGGGTGCACTCTGTGAGTGCTTGGAGTTAGTTGGAGACTCGAGGGCTTGGCTCATTTCTCTCTGTTCAAGCCTTGTCCTCGCGATCCGAACTCGGCGGAGGCATTCTGGGCATGTCTCCGCGGGCTGGGAGGACTGCCGGTGGGGTCAAAATTAGCTGGCAACACCGAGGTTGCAAGGGAATCAGTTTAAGTATAAAAATGCCAGCGTCGATTGACTGACTGTGCAGGCTACAGGCAATGCTTTGTTTGGCTTTAAAAGCGCAGCTCACCACACATCTCCAGCATGGTGTTGCGTCCTGTGCAGAGGAGGCGGGGGACGGAGTCCTGCTGTGGTGCGCCACCCAATCAGCACAAGCAGCCACAAGCTACAAGTGCGTGTGCAGGGACAACATGATACAACTGCGGGAAGCCAATGTACTGCCAAGTATGGTTTGCATGAGTGTCGTTGATTAGGCCTGGCTTAGACGAGGCGGATGAGTTCGACGCGGTACGCGCGCTAGCATGCCTGAATACTCACCAGATGCCGCGTTGCATTTGGGGAAATCGCCAATTACTTGTGCGCCGGGCTCAGGACAGGGGCCAGCCCAACCGCGATGAGTACTTGGCAGCCTGTGCCAAGCTTCTGCCACTTGGAGTGCCAATCAGAGACGACAAGTTGTTCATCATTTGAAAGAGAGAGAGAGAGAGAACAAGATAGAGAGATGATATCAAAATAGTAAATGTACTTCATATCTATATATATATATATAATATGGACATGGAAATGCCTTGCTTGCTGGCGACGCCTTGCCTCCAAACAATTTCCGGTGCCCAGTCCCCTCTTCGTGGCAGCACTCTCCAAAGTTGGAACATGGCCGGGGCCCGAAGTGCCGCTTCGCCGTGGCCGTTTTGTTCTGGCGCCTCGCGCCCAGGTTCCAGCAGGGGAGGGCGCACTGGCGGTGCCAAGCCGGCGATTGCCTCGTCGGGGTGCCCAAGCTTCAAGTGTTTCACAACGTGTTGGGTGTCGGGTTCAGCCTTGACATGGATGCAGTTTGAGCAGTTGTTGCCTGTTAGCGTCTTCAGACAGTAGAGTTCCAGTCGTGCTGCAACACCGCAGACGTGTACTGTATTCTGATTCTACGCAGCATTTTTGGTGTAATTAGACGTGTTTAGAGCGCGGCTGGCAGACACTGACGTCCGCCTTTGCCCCCTTGGCCAGGCCCTGCTTGATGACCTCCCAGGCTCAGCTGGTCTTTGCCCAAGGTGAGTGGAGGTTGGGGTTCAGGATTTCCATTGGCCGCATGTCGCTGTTGAACACCTATGTGCAAGCATTGAACCATCATGCAATTCTGCGTGTGGCACTTGCCATTGCTCATATTTCTGAATGCCCAGCCCAGGCTTCCATCGTATCTTCACCTCAAATGTAGCTGACCATGTCGGGGCGGATGCCCCAGTGGTTGTGTCGCATGTTCTTGACCAGGTGGCCTTTGTACCTATCTTTGTGTCTTGTGGCCTGTTTTGGGTAGCTCTCTGTGCGCGCGTGCGCGCGCGCGCGCGTTTTTTGTTTGTTTGCCTGTCTCAATGTCTGCGGTGTGCGGCTCTGCGCATGGCAGAGGTGCCCAGCCTGGCGCTGAAGTTGCTTCCCTTCCTTGAGACCCACGGGAGGCGAGGGTCGGGCAAGGCTGGCGGAGAGAGGTGGCGACTTCCTGGTGGTTTTCATTTAGGCAAGCGGGGAGACGGTTTTTCAAAGCTGGGGCTTCAGGGAGATAGATGTGCGGGCTTCTTTCAGCAGACCCCCCCCCACCCCCACCCCAAATTGGGTTCCTTTTATGGCCACCAAAAAGGGGTACCCGCAAAAAAGACGCCCGGAGGAGTGAGATGGAGGGCCGGGGAAAGCCATGCAGGTTCCCGTTGAGCTTTTGGAAGAGCATGGGTCCCCATGGGTTTTCATGGGTCCCCATGGGTCATGGATGAAGTGTGTTTTGTTTTTGTGCCCGTTCCGAGGTTGGTCGCTTGCCTCAGCAACAACTTGAAGGCAGTCGACTTTGGCGGCTTCCTCAGACAGAATTTGGGGGACTCGATGATGGCTCTGCCCATGATTCATGTATGCCACGGCCAAAATCAACACATTGAGCTTCCGCTTCAAGGAACTGCCAGGGCTCACATAAGGACTTTTGACCATAGCACATATAAGTACTTGGGAGTTTGACTCCAGCATACGGCCATTGTTGCTGGCAGACTTTTGGGCTGTGCGACTCCTTGCATTTGTCATAGTGCTGAGTTCTGAGTTGGACATGGCAGTTCCTGTGAGCTAAAGCGAACGGACCATGGTGACCATGCTCGTACCAAACGTGTTTGCAACTCTCCTATCTTTGGGCGCCGGACAATCTGGCGCAACTATCAAGAGAGCTCAGCAAGGAACGCAACTTGATCACTTGTCGTGGTGCTTGTCAAGCGCCAAGGCGGTGACACGGAGTCTCTCTTCCCCAAGCTGCATGGTGTCACGCTTGAGGCACTTCTTATCATGGACCTGGCAAGGGCACAAGCTTTGTTCTTCTTCTCTTTTAATTTTTGGCGGAGGCGTGTTGTGTTTGGCTAAATTATGTGGCGATTGGCTTCCATCGGTTTCTCTGCCGCAATGACTCGGGATTTTGTCGCCATTGAAGGCAATTTGGCCATGGATCAAAATCCCGTACCCCTAGTGAACATCTCGATCCCCACTAAAATGGACGAACATGGGTGGTGCACCTACCCCAAAATGGTACCATTGGTGTTGACCCACAGCCATTTGATTTGTTGCGCATCTCTTTTCAGAGTCCGTTGACCAAGCTGCTCCCAGCTTGGCCTGTTGACCTTCCAGGGCCTGGAGTCACAAGCCAAGCCTTCAGGCCGCCGCCAAAGCACTTGGCGCCAAGCATCAGAGCTGCGGGGATCAGGCCTGCGGAGTGAACCACATGGATGATGCCTGTGCCCCTGAAGGTTAACAAAGACAGCTCAGTAGACATGGATCACATGTCGCAGATGCTGTTTAATCCTCAATGACCCATTCAGTCCGCGACGTGCTGGATACTTTTGTTGTCAGGAATCCCGATTGCTTGCACTCATGACAGCTTCTTTTGATCTGACAGCAGCTTGTAAAAGACCATGGCCGGCAACCCCCCCTCCCGCATGCAAGAACCCTTGACTTCCATCCCCCACTGTCAGCAATGATGCTGAAGGAATTTACAGAGGCGTTTTGCCCTGTCAGCTTGCAAGGGATCCCACTACAGGGATGCTTGCTTGTGCATATTTTTGTTACACTGGTACTTGCTTGTGCATCCCTCTCTTGGATGCAAGTGACCTTTCATCAGTCAAGCAACATCATGCCAAAAGGCCAAAAGGGATGGCATGGTGATTGTGGACTAGTTGAATTCTCGTTGCAGCGTTGCTGCTTGAAACTTAACATGCTTTACGAGCAAACCATGGCACCATGGAACGTACGGCGTCTTTCCCACTATTTGGGCGATCTGAGAGTGGCATCCAGGTCCGTTTTGACATCCATTGCGCTCTTGCAGGTGTGGCTTCAACCGAAAGAGGCAGCGGCACCCTGAGTTCTGCTTTCAGCCCTCATCAAGTGCATTCCGCGCGCTGCCTTTGGCGAAGCACCGGAACTGCTCACCACGACTCTCACACTCCCAAGTCGGAGTTTTGCACAGGCATATGCATCATTCAAGGGTAACAGCCACCTAATCTCAGTGCAGTGTCAGATGTTTGTATAGGAAGCAGGGTGCCAAGGCTGCCGAAGACAGCAAGGCTCTGCTGGATTTGATCGTGGTGGGCTCGGCCATGCATCTCAAGTGAGTCATGCCGCGCCAGGTTCGATCGAATCTTGGCAATCCATGGAGCCGAATGCCCATGACTAGCAACACATGACTGCGGGTCAAAACCAATGGGATCCCATTTTGGGGTAGGTGCACCACCCATTGTGGAACCTATTTTAATGGGGATTGAGATGTTCGCTGGGACGGGCTATTGACCCATGGCCACATCAGCTATTTTTGCTGAAGGTCTTCTCCGCGGACCGTTTGTCTGCTCCCAAGTGCACACTTCGCTGGCGAGCGCAGGCCATGAAGGCCAGTGCGGGTATTTATGGTTGCAGGAGAAAGCCGAGGGCTGACAGCTATCCGGAAGTTGCTAGATTGATTTGCTTCACTAAGTTGCTTGAGGTACCGCTGCCCTCAACCTGCTGACGAGACCATTCGCAGGCGCATGGAGCATGGGGTGGGGCACCCAGCGATGTCCCTTCTGCCATGGGCAGCGCAGACTTCTGCCATGGGCAGCGCAGACTTGGTTTTGCCACCTTGCTCTGGGACCATATGCTTCTGCCCGCATCGTGCGGATTTCACTTGTGTGTTTGCTGATGGGGACGTGATGTTAATATGTTAGACCACATTGCAAGATGGAGAGGAAATACCGCTTGCTGTTCGCTAAGGATTGCCTCGGTATGGCCCACAGGCAGTGCATCATTTAGGGCAATGCATGCATGAAGACATTTGAACTCCACGTTTCATTTGGTTTTCCCGTGACTCACCGGTGCGCGCGATATGTGTGCGCGATATGTGTGCGCGATATGCGTGCGCGATATGCGTGGAGGTTCGCCCGTCGCTTCAGCTGCTCGGCGGTGACTGTGGCCTGCTTGGCCCGGCTGCTGCTGCGTTTGGCGCAGACCCCAGCAAAGCCGCGAGGTCGAATGAGGTCCCCCTTGCTTGCCGCTATGCGTTGCTCCTTGGCCAGTTCTGCGGCTCTCACTACCCATAAACAGAGGCTTTTCATTCGATTTTGTAATTTCTAATCGGCATGTGTATGGCCAAGCTCCAAGAGTCGCTTGAAATGATGCAGAATGGATGGGTGTATTCCAGGTATAGTGCAAGGTCAGAGAACTCGGTCAAGGGCCTTACAAGGCTGGTCGTGGGTGGAACGACACCCTTGCGCTTGCCGACGTGACTCCATGACTTGCCTTTAGTGGAATGCTTATTGAACCGGGCTTCGTGCCTGAGGCCAAGATAGCACCAGAGGTCGCTGCCGAGGCTCTGGCGCACAGCTTGGATCGGCGGGTTTGGTCTCTGTGCTCTGCGTTGAATTTCATCCTTGATATGCAGCGGAGTTGCTCCAGGAGAGTAGTCCACATCACTGAGATTTGGACAGGGCATAGTTGCAGTTTGTAGCAGACGCAAATTGGACACAGGAGTATATATTATTTTTCTTGCGCATCAAGGGGTCATGCTGTGAGACAAGGGATATGGGAGAAATGGGGCTTGTGAACCTATGGCCGCGCATTTCATTTAGGCTGGGGCCTTGACACTTTCAGTCGTTGCCTCCTTGCGCAAGGCTTGCGCGCGCGTGGTGGAGGTGCTGTCCTAAGCCAAACAGCGTCTCTCGCTGGGCCCTTCAGAGGTGACCGGGGTGCATGTCAAGCTCGCGCAGCTGCTCAGTCAGACAAGCGGCGAGTCATACAAAACAGGCGCGTTTTGCATATGAGGCAAATTAGGGACACATGGAAGCAAATGGGCCGCATTAGGTACTGGCACCCAGACACATTTGCAAGGGGCACAACGTTGAAGTGCATTATGAATTATACATATATATATATATATACACGTATAAACTGTACAATTAAGATATAACTGTACATTGCACTGTGCTATATCATGTTAATTCTTGCAGTGTTATGTCATGCTATTCTATACAATGTTTTTGTAAATCTACGTATATACATAGAGTGATGCTTTAATGGACAGCCATGCGGCCCACTCGTGTGACCTCCAGAAGCAGAAGCTTGCTCCTGCTTGTGGCCCGCAGCTGAGTTGAAGGCTGCGGGCAACGGCCCAGCGAAGGCTGAGGGCATATGCCAGGGGTTTGTTGCATATCAGATACTGCTTTCGATCCAAGCACGGGCAATGACATCCTAAGGTTCCAGCACTATGGCTGGGCCACCATCTTCCCGAAGCTTTTGCTGTGGCGCAGAGGCAAAGCGGCTGAGCAAGAATGAGCGCCTCCAACCTCCTCTCATGCTCAGAAGGCAACACGTGAACAGAAATCACTTCCATGTCCAACAGTCAGATGGCCAGGCCAAACTTGCCATGCATTGCATCACAATCAGCGTGGGTATCAGGGTTCTTTGGCTTTGCGCCCTCAAACCCTCTCACAAGTCTTCATGTTTTGGACATATGTGTAGACTCGCAGGGCACAGAGACGTACTTGAAAGACGGAGAGTGGCAAAAGCCTAGCCCTCTTGACCTGTCAGGCGATCGAAGTCCTTGGAGCGGAAAGTCCATGCCATGACGATGGACGTGCTGACAGAGATGGATGAGGACGCTGTCCAGTCGCGGTTGGAGCTGAGAGCCATAGCTGACAGGCTCGCACGGCAGGAGTGCCATTGCTTTTGTAAGAGGCTTGACCATGGGTTGGGATCCTTTTGTGGCGAAATGTGTCTCATGTCATCGAACGCTTTGATCAGGAGCTGGAAGAGCCCCGCAGGCCGCGACGGAAGATGAAGGACTTCGCTGCTGGCGAGCTCATTGAAGGCCAGCGAGACCCGGGGCCCAGAGAACTTGCGCCCACACTCAAGGTCCCTCTTCACAGGTCGATTGTAGATCCCCATGATGCACAGGCTCCTCATGAGAGCGGAATATTGTCGCACAGCAATGTCCGGCGGACAATTTGAGCAGGCGCTTACTTTCTTTGGGATTTGGCCTTGCCATCCACGTGCAGTGCTGATGAAGCGTGCGGCTCTTTTTCAGGGTGGGCGTTGCGTGGCAGGTGTGGTGACAAGGGACTGCAACGACTCAGTTCACTTGGACATTGGCGCTGCAGCGGACGGCGTTTTAGAGCTCCTCGTCGGCAACACGAATCCTTTTTCAGGGGCCTTCTGGAGGTTGCGTGGGCGGATATTCTAGTCAGCCGTTCGCTTTTCGAAACCTGGATGGGAGAAGTGGGTTTGTGTCGGCATGGGGCTTTCTTTCCCTACTTTGATTGACCGGAGCGCCGACCGCCAAAAACACTGCCAACTGAGTCACAGTTGGCATTGCTCATTGAGCCGCAGGAAGGGTGACTATGTGGGGGCGGCTGACCCGCAGCAACTGTACTGGCCAGGCAAGCGGCTGAACGTGACAGTGTGGAGCCGTCCGGCAGCGAAGGTAATATGAGCGGCTGGCTGTTTGGGAAGGACATTGGTGCAACAGCCCCCAGATTTCCCGTAAAACAAGTTGATATCTTTGAGGTAGCAAGTAATTTTGCTTGGGACTCATATGGATAAGGACGCCACATATCAATGCAGAATTGAGAAGCATTTGCTTCTCTTGGGACTGCTTGAAATGCACTTCTCACTGTTGTTGCGCAATCCAGACAGATCGCGAGCCTTAGGCAATGCTGGCCATTGCATTTCTTTGCGGCTGCACAGATACGAGGGCACTCGGTGCGGCACCTGCTTCCAATCATTGGATGAGCCTTTGCGACTCGGTAGGCAACAGCAAGTCGAAAGAACTTGCACGTGCCACGTGCCGCGTGAGCCCATGTTCAGTGTTCTACAAACTCGTTTTCAATCAAGAGAATCCGGCTTAACACACACACACTCTACAGGTGCTAGAAATGAATAATTCCTTGCAATATCAGCTTCCAAACATCCTGATTTCGACTGTTCTCAGCACTGGCCCAGCAAGGTATGGTACTGGGTCGGGGCCTTGGCTGAACTTTTCCGCTAAAGCATGAGCGGCTTGCGAGTGCATGGGCAAAAATCTGTCAGCGGCCTGCTGCAATTAGTTTCAAGGATAAAGCAACCAGACCTTTTTGGGTTCATCGAAATCCATCGACATCAGCAACGGCATCCGAGCATCTTGCAGTGCTCAGAGAAAAACTTAAGCCTGCAGGCATCACGAGCGCTGCGTGCAGTGTTGGAACATTGGCAGAGGCGCGGCAGACAAGCTGTGATGTGAAGAAAACCATGTCCCACTTGCTGCTCTTGACACGGCTTGCAGCCAGGCATGTGAACCGTTGCAATGCTGTCACATGTCGCGCTGTAGATGCCATTGAGCCATGGATTCTACTTTCCCGTTGACTGAACTCTCCCAGTTTGATCAATCACATTTGGCATACTGTTTGAGTTGCACATTTCATACGTTTTGGCATAATGTTTCTGCAGTATGTGACATCTGCTTGCTCTTTGGAGGCGTGCCACCCTTCTTTGAGTCGGGCGGCAAGCGCTATCACTGCGTGGTGGGTGCAGTGCCGACAAAGGTGAAGAAGAATCTTGGTGTTTGTACTTTGCCAATGGGCTACATACCCGGTTGCATAGGTTTGCACACAGAAACTGTTCATCACTGTGCCCTTTATCATGATGATTTCTGTGTTTGTTGTTGCTGATTGCTTCGCACAATTACTTGTCTCCGTGCCAAGACGGCTGCAAACAATTTGCATTGCTCAGTATCAAGAGGGTTTAGCCACACCAGGCTGCTGATTTGCGACAGCCAGCTGAGGAAAGTACAGGCGCTCATTGACAAAGGCTCTGAGTGTTGGGCGTGTCTTGTTTTGAGGGTTCCCTAAAACATGGATACCCAGCCAGTTCACCGCAGATTTCGAGAGTTCCTTTGTTGCTGGAGACCTTCAGAGAGGACCAATATGGAGCACCGGATATTCTGTGACAAGTATCTTTATGATGTTTAGGGAGTATCGTTGTATGACACATATTTTGTATGCCTTACCGCCCAAGTCATCCATGTCAAGTTGGCGAGCTCTCGAAAACGAGGCGCTCGGCACCGCGCGCGCAGGCAACCGCTACTGGGACACCTGGGCCGAAAAGTCCTCCCGGCCGCAGCAGAAGGGCCGCTTGCACGGAGCCGCTTGGCTGAGAGAGTGACATGGGAAGCATGCGGCTGGCTACAAATGAACGGAAGGAAGCCAAAAGGAGGTCCCCCAAAAGGCGGGTCCTCTAAAAGGCGGGTCCTCTAAAAAGGATCAGTTTTAAGGGGTGTGAAAAGTCAGCATATGTTTTTTTGGAAGGAAGCTCGCTGGCTTCGCAGGTTGGCCTTCAGCTCAGCCGCAACAACACCTTCCCGGGCACGGAGCAACTGCAAGACATGTGCAACGATGTGCCTTGGCTTTGCGGTTTCAGTTGAACCACGGCCAGCCGGCTTTCAGCTGTAATCTATTTCAGCATTCAGGCCTTCATTGTGGCTCAGTGATTGCCCCAAGCATGTTCGTTCAGCGTGTACCGAAATGTAGCTCACAGCAGAGGTTTGAGGCTCGTCCGCAACCAGTGGGATTTGTGATGTTAAATTGTGATGTCAACAATTGGGATTGCCCCTGCCAAGCAAGCGGAGCCTTTCAGCAATCAGCATGCACATATGGGGCGCTGAACGTGGGTAGTGCCGCCCGCTCCTGGAGTGCTGGCGCCGGAATCTACCAACGCTCAAGGGAAAATGAAATCATGGAGGGGGCCAGAGGCAAGGGAAATTGGCAGAGACCTGGGCGGAGCTTTGGCTTGACCCATTAGGTGCAAATGCGTACGGGCTATTGTCATGCTTAACGCGCAAAGACGCCATATGCCCTGCCCTGTTCCATACATGAACCAAGCGCATGCTGCTTAGGATGTTATTGAGCAAGCCTGAGATAGCAGGCCAAGTGAATTGATAAGGTGTTTGAGCTTGTTCAATCCATTGGGTAGCTCGGGGCCCAAGACTTGGCTCAGGACCGTAGCAACCCATGTGGGCAACTGGGTCGGTGGCACAGAGTTGAGCCGACACTTGAAGCTTTTGGTTGACCCTCTGTGCATTTTGGGCCCTCAAATCCATGAATTGCCAGCTGAAAGCTGAAGGCGCACCAAACATGCCGACATCGCCCGCTGCGCGCTTGGAAACATCGCGGACAAAAAAGCCTCAAATTGTGCCCATGCACCCTCTAACATGGTGTGAACAATATGTTTAAGCACAGTGACTGGGAGGTCCTCATTCTAGGATCCAGCAGTTCATCAGCTCACTCAGCAGAAACCGGGCAAAGAGCCATAGATCATCAGGACCGATCCTGTACAGCAGGGTATGCAAAGCTGGGAGAGTGCGTTTGGAGATGTCACAGTGCAACAGCTGCCAATCATTAGACTCGTCTATGCTTCTGCGCACACACATTTTGATTGCAACCCAGCGTGAAAAGCCCCTTTGAACTGATTTTTTTCAGATTCAGAGCCAGGCTGACGGCCGGTTTTTTCTTTCGGGGGATAAATCTTGGCGCTTCTTTCTGAGCTTCTGTTGTTGCTCTGGAGAACAAACAGTGACGACTTGCAGTTTATGCTCAGCCAATCAGCAGAGAGGATCTTGGAGGCCAAGCGACAGCCGTAAAGCCATTCAGGTGGTATAGAGGTA